ATGAAAGTAATATCACCAAAGGCAATTAAGTGGTAAATAAACTGCAAAAAAGCAAGAAAAATCGGACCAATGCTAAGACGGGCAAAGGAAACCCTAGCAGTCAAGTAAAGCTGTAGTGTGAAAGGAGATAAGTATGTTTTGGAAAGTATTCTCCACAGGACACCATATCCCTGAAGTCCTGGAGCCATCCATAGTTGCACCAATCCAAAGAGATGAAAATCTGGACAAGGGGTGGCAGTGAAATGCCAACTGTAGTACTGACATGATCCAACCATCAAAACTAGTTCTAGAGAAGAGATGGTGGCAGCATCACTAGAAAGGAAAACATTTGCAAGATATTACCTTGGTTACTCACAATCCACTGAAGAAGCCATGTGTGACCCAAGTCTAGATGTATCAGTGATGCCAGAGTCCTTGAAAGAGATAGAACCTCTCATGCAGGAAGTATAGAAGAGGCAAGAGCAGAGTTACAGTGAGTAGACTCTTCATGTCCTGCTGACAAATAATGGAAGGCTGAGCCCAACTGGATTAACAATTGAAAAAGACCTCAAAGTGGACCAAGCATTAAGTTAGAGTCAGGAATGAAATGGAAAACTTGACCAGCCAACCCAGATGAGCAGCCTCTTGGAAAAGTGACACAGCCAAAAAAGAGCCTTCCAAATAAAGATGCAAAGAAGAACCAGTCATCCATGTAATAAAGAAACAAAGTCCAAGACTGTAAAAACATGGGAAGCAAATTGTTTCATGACTCTGTTGAAGACATAGGGAGCCAAAGCTATACTGACAAGGAAAGCTTGAAACTGGTATACTCCATAATGATGAAAGAAATGGAAGAAATTACATGAGAAACAGACAGTCTGAATGTAGAGAAAAGTATCTGAGGCATCAACTTTGGTCATTCAAGTCTGGAAGAAAAGAACCAACAGAGAGGGAAAAACCCTCCATCTTAGGACAAGAAATCTCCAGACAGTGGTTTAGAGAGGAAAGGTCCTTAAAAAGACAAGAATAAAACCCTGGAGAGGGACAAATGACCCTTTCAATGGTTCTCACATTCAAAGAATCTGATACCATAGCCTCAGGAGGAGAAGGAAAAGAGAACAGAAGAGGAATAGAAAGCTGTGTGTATAAACCTGAATAACCCACCATTCAGCCACAAAATGAATTCAAAGATACAGACATACTTTTACATAAGCTAAGCCAACTGATTAAAAAGTGGTAGTAGAACAAGAAATGGGAAGTGAGAGAGATGAAGTGTTCATAGGGTCAAAGAAAAGGAGTAGAACCACAAGGACGTATGAGATAAAAGACCAGGAAGGAAAGAGAGGATTGGTGTCAGGTAGCCTCAGTACAAGTCTCCAAGGCATTAGGAATACCACCAAAGACTTCAGGGCTAGAAAATGAGCCAGATGTTGGTAACAAAAGTAATGATGGGAAAGATGAATGGTAAAAAGAAGAGCATCTCATCCCAAAAGGTCCCAACAACAGAGAAACCAATTAAGTAGGGACAAGGCAAAAGACAAATCCCTGGCCAAGATATTTAACCATAGACACCCAGAAAAGCTATAAGGATCACAGTTTAGGGCTTCAGGTAGGAAATGAAAAAAGGATAGGTACGGAGAATGTAGGTTATAAAATCGTGGAGACAGAAAAACTGAGCACTAGAGACTGTTAATGGAGATAGGGGTCAGTTCCTCAAGTGGGTGGAAGGAATTCGAGGGATTAAGAATCCAAGAACAAAAAAGGGTAATGAAAAAAAAAAGAATCCTGGAGCCGAGGAAGACAAAGTAAAGAACAAACCTGAATAATCAAAGAGAAATTTGGAGGAGGAACATTGTCCTTAACAGGTAAAGAGGCAAGAAGGCATCAAAGAACCCATGACATAATGAACTATGGTGGTAACAGCTTTCACAATCAGAGTCTCATGTGGTGACAGACAAAGTAAGAGTAGTGTTAGCAACACTGCCAGGATTTCAAGATGAGGTTGCAGTTACAGTCACTTAAGAATTTGTGGTTATTGCAGCAATAATCCACACCATTTTTTTAAGACATTTAGTGACAATTTAGCTTGAAACCAAAAATTAAAACAAACTAAAAGGAAACCAAAAAAAATAACACTGTGAAAAGGCAGGCAGCTCAAATCTCATGAAACTGATTAAATTTTAATGCAAAGAAACATGTCTGTTAAAGACAGTACTGAAGATAAGAATGCTTATGGGGATACTAC